CCTGTGTCAGGGGCTCAAGCCTGTAATCTTAGCTACTCAGGAGGCTGAGATCTGAGGATTGCAGTTCAAAGTCAGCCCAGGCAGGAAAGTCCAAGAGACTTATCTCCAATAAACCACCAGAAAACTGGAAAAAAAAAGTTCTACTAATGTTGGTTTTTAAAAAATATGTTTCACTTTTAATTATCAATTACATGCAACCTAATCGTATATGCATGGTAGTAAACAAATCTGAAAATGTAAAGGGTAGAAAGTTCTCTAAGGAAATCAGCATCCCAAAAGATACTTGAATAGAATTTTATGCTAAAAGAAACAAAGAAAGAATAGAAAGAAAAAAGAAAAGAAAAGAAAAGAAAAAAAGAGAAAGAAATCTCAAACTAAAACATAGATACTTTCTCTTTTTTCCAAATGTATGTGTTGGGAAATTTATTTTTTAAACTCCTCATCTGCTTCAGTGATTTTAGCTCTATAAATGTTTAATTATTATTCTTTTAACTTGCTATGAGAAGTGTGCAATCAGAATTATGTGTAGGCAGAGAATATTATTTTGTAGTTTTAGAGAATAAAATGTACTTGGCCCCAAATGAGAAAGCAGTCAGACAAAGATAAAGTTTTTCAAACAAAAATATCACAGAATATTAAATTCTCAATTTGGTGTCTTTTTTTAAACTCAACTACTACATCAATAAATCTTTCTTATTAAAATGAATTGTGCTCTTTTTGAATTCAATTTTAATCTCACCCGACAAAAGCAATTTGCTCTCATGGCTCTTTCTGCAGATCTATCTAGAGTTGGCATGCCTCCTGACTTATTGTTTGGGCTCCTTACTAGCTTTGTGCAACTAAATTTAATCCCATGGTTTTCTGTTTTTGTGAAAAGAGAAAAAGATTTTCTCTTTTTAACGGAATGTCAACAAATAAGTTCACATCTTTTTGTCAGACAATCAATGCATGTACAAAGTTATTGAATTCAAGTGAAACCTGAAAATAAAAGCATGTGTTCTCTTCACATAGACTACATAGATATTCACATACAAGTTTCTCATTACTTTTTATTAAAGTTTAAAAAAGATATCCTGGTTCCATTCATATAGCCAGGCTTTCTTTCTGGGCTCTCTTGGAATGAATAATTTTCAATAAAATATATGCTTTCTTTCTTTTTCTCCTTTTCTAGTGGATATACATACACACAAAAACAAATGTCACAAAAAATGAAAAAGACTTAATTATGCAAAATAAACAGATCAAAGAAAACCACATATTACTTTACCACAAAAAGCATTCATATAGACCTGTACAGAATATAACACATTAAATTAGCAGCAGCTTCTTCATGTAAACAAATATTTTCCCACATTATCATTTAAACATTTATTTTCATGACTGTTGAAAAATTTTAGAAAACCTAAATAATATATTGTGAAAATGTCTAACATATAATGTTGATTTTAAAATGTTTAATAATAATTTTTCTTTTACTTTATCTTTTCTTTGTAAACTAACCATTTGGGGCAAAACAAGTATAATATGAAAAATAACAAAAAAATATTAAAAAATGTAATGTTTTATTACTTCCCTCATAGGCAAGTACTAGCTAACTAATGGACAAGGTATGATATGGCCATTTCTTTTATAGAATTAGAGAAATTTGAAGGTCCTCTGGTTCATGATAGATTTTGAGAAAGAGAATTGAACAGTCCTTAACATATCAATAGTATGTCCAGATTTATTGGCAATAGGCCAGGAACATTGTGAGGATGAGTGCCATGCTGATCCACAGTTATCTAAGGTTGGGGTGGGGCCAGCTTTCAGAAAAAATAAAATAAAAAAAAACAAATAGAAAAACAAAAAAATGAACACCTAACATTGGGTACATGCCATGAACAATAAAATCCAGTAACAAATCTATGGGGGTTAAAGTAGCAGTTAGATAAATAACATTCTTGTTTCATTAAAAAAAAAAAGAAGGAAAGAAAGAAAAAAAAGGCAAACAAACAAAAAACCTATTAAGTTTGCAGAATGAAGTATCTCTGTGCCTGCTAACCGATTATGCCACTGGAGCTCCTCTGTAGGAAATCTTGATTCAGGAAGTCTCATGTTTCAGCAGTAATTTGAAACTAGCCTGCATCAAACAAGATGGAGATTTGGCCATCTCTGGAAGCAGGCACTCCAAAATGAGAGGAGATGCTCCAAGAACAGGCCAGCATACCCATCTGTGCAGGTCGGATCAAGCATCCAGAAAAGATCACCAGCCATCTAGGTAATGTATAGATAGATACAAGGCTATTTTTCTTACCTAGATGCTAATGTAAAGGACTATGATCACTATTTCCTAAATATTTCAGAAGAGATCTGGGATAGTACATGGTGGAAATTCTAGTCTCCTAGCATTTTCCTTCATCAAAAACATCCTCATCCCAGTGTAGAAATTACACCCTTGATTCATAGCCACACAGCAGTGTAGAAGAGCTGCAGAATATTCATATCATTCATTTGCTAGTAAAAATAGACTCGTCACATGTAGTTACATCCAGGAAACACTGACATAAAACACTAAACACATGACATAACAAAATGCTTGTTTTCCCAGATAGAGAATTTAGTTGTTTCATCCATTCTTCAGTTTAATAGCATAGGATTGTTCCTTCAGAATTCCTTAAACTTGTGGAATATCTTTAAATCCTAAAAGTATCATTTTTTAAATGGCATAGTAAGCATCAGTTGATGTCACTTTCCAAAAAACTAAATTGATAAATAACTAAATTGAAACATTATGATATATTGCTATAATGTAGAAACCAATATTGAAGTTTCTTTCTTCAGGATCATCTCAAGCCTTTCCCCATGAATGTAATGCAGCTTATTACTGAGTACGCGTGAAGAGTTCTTCCACTCCCTGCTGTCCTGTCTGCATCAGTACTTCTAGCAAAGTGGCTGAGAACAAGTTGCACATAGTATTTTGTACTTACTTTGCTGATAATTTTAAGACTTAACCTTTAGTAGAGAAATGAATTAATAATGGGTATATATTAATATACAAAACACAGGCAAATACTAAACTTCAGATTAAGTTAGAAAATATTATATCACTTGTGTATTTAGAAAAAATCCAATAAACTTTTAGTTAATAGATGCATGTTCATAAAATAAAAAGTTTTAGAAAATAAATATATGATGCACATGACATTTGGACAGAAAGTGAAATCAAAGAGCTAAGGTCAAAGTGTTACTGTAGAAATCTCAACTTTTAAAGAGATACCTTGTTTAAAATAGTAAAATCTGCTAAAAATTGCCCTTGGTATAAATATATAGCTTTCTATTTGGGTCTGTATATTGAAAATAGTTTATCATTTGAAATACACTTGCTGTCTCTTTACAAAAATATCTTATAGATTGTTTTATTTTTGGTTTACTGAACACAAAGCATTAGGTGCTAGATAGCACTCCATTACTGATCTATATCACCAGCACTATGCAGTATTTTCTTATGACAAGTGTCCTCTGACACAAAGTTGTTGGTTACACATTCAAAAGTAAATAAAAGCATATGATGATTGCTTCTATAGTTTGGTTTAAATATGTTCAAGTGTCAAGTTGGAAAAATTAGGCCATGGAAATACAAAGCTCATGTAGGAGGTAAAATTTCCTTTTATAAGGCATAGTTGGTATGTTTATAGCTAGGAAACGAATTAAAAACAGCCTAACAGCAGGTTATGCAATTTTGAAAAAATGTAATCTATCAAACCAGTTATATCATGCCAAAACATAGAGCAAAAAACTACATACAAAAAAAATCTCTCAAAGTTATTAAGTCTTTATTCTACTTTGCTTTAATTTAAAAAATGGAAAAGAAAATAGAGCAATGTAGATGATATAATAATAATCTAATAAAATCCTTAATAATTGCTATGGAAATTCTTAAATGGCAATTTGATATTTTTGAATGCATTATAAAATTAATTTCAGGGCTAGCAGGAGAAAAACAAAGGAAGAGATAACAATGTTTGACAAGAAATATACTCATTGGAAGTGGCGCTGTGGCTCAAGAAGTAGCATGCTTGCCTTGGGCTGAAGAGCTGAGGAATAGTGCCCAAGCCTAGAGTTCAAGGCCATGACCAACAAAAAATAAGAAGAAATATACTCATTACCTTACTCATGTAACTGTACCCCTCTTTACAGCATCTTTACAATAAAATTAAATTAAAAAATTAAATTTCATAAAGTGGAAAGTGGTAGTTTTATTTTTAATAAGGTGTCATGGTTGGGTCCATGTTTCAAAAAAAATACATAGAAGATAATAGTAGGTAAACAACTTAAGGACATATTGCCAATGATTACACATGTACCTCATATATGTTGTTCAGTATAAATGAACTTTCAGAAATCTTAAGGATTTTTCAATATTTTCATTTACTTTGTTAAAAGTACAGGAAGTGAACTGTGGAATCAAACTAATTGCATTTAAATAATTCTGCATATGAAGAATGAAAATTCTATATTATTATTTGTAAAAAGTTTGTTTTTTTAATAATCCATTACTAAGTTAAATGCTTTATCAACTCTATTAATATTGCATTGGTATATCTGCCTACACAATTGGCTTAATTAATATTTAATATATATGTTGACAATGTTAATCACATACAAGAATTTCTCTTTATTCCTATGTCACTATTAATATTTTCTAAGTAGATTATAAACATTCACTTAAATGAATATGTCTGTTTCCCAAATACTTATTATTATTATTCCTACTAGTACTGCAATTTATTTAGAGTAAAAAATGTCTTACTTGTCCATGAAGAACTTTGGGTTACATTAAGCAATCCCCCAACTCCCATCTTAACTGTAGGTACTGTATGAAATAGCTGACCTAAGTTTGTTATGACACAGTGAGCACCTAGACCAACCTTCCCAAGTAAAGCCTCAGTTTTGTCTGAATTGTGTTCAGAATTGTTTGGCTGTGGCCAACACAGATAACACAAAGATGAATAAACTCTCACCACAGTTGGCTTCATCAGATGCATCAGCGCAGTCAGGATCCTCATCACAAACCCACAGTTTGGAAATGCAATGTTTGGTAGTTTTACATTGGAAATAGTCTGGAGAACAGCTGTTTTCAGCTTAAGTAGAAAATGCCTGTTAATATGTAGCTTTGAAGAACAAATATTTTATTTACAAAAGCAAAAACTAAAATATTTAAGATAGTTTAATCAATAGAGAATTGAAGTTAAGGAATATTAACATTTTATTAGTTGTAAAGAAATGTTGATATACCTGATATCCTTTCCACTAGAAAAAAAGAAAATATATTTCTCCAATGATACATTAATAACTATGAGAGGTAAACATCTACTGATTAGATATTTGGGAATTAATACTTAAAGAATTAATGTTTTTGCAAAATATTTTTTCTAAATATGTTTAAGATTTTTATGTATGTATTCCTAAGGACAGAAAGACAAAAATTGGAATTGATTGTGTAAATGCAGATTTAAAAGCATGAAACTTAATCAAAATCTGGGCATTGGGTTAACTTTTTGAGGAAAGGGGTGAACATCTCATTTGGACTATAAACGCACCACAAACCCTAGTCAGTTTATGGATCACCTTCTAGAATGGCAAAACATAAAGAACTAGTGCAGGCTTTATTCTCAATGCATCCTCTTAATCAAATTGCTGGATGACTGCACATTATTTACTGATAAAAGTTTTAGGGGAATAAAATAAAGCTCCAGCAATACCAAAACACTGAGAGTCATTTTGTTGAAAGCCTGAAAATTGACAGGCGCTTAATCTTTTAGCTGTGACTCAACCCTGTGTTTGAAATTGTGAATGAGTATGAATGTGTAAATATATGTGCACATACATTCACGAATGTCTGTTTACATGCATTTATGCTTAGTGTATACATTTTTTGCTACCATTTTAAAGAAATACAGATTTTGGAAAGAGATGGAAGCTAAATGAACAAAACTAAAATATTTTATTTTTACACTTCCATGTGGCTTTTAAATTTTACTAAATGGAGTACTGCTTATAGTTTTTGATATGTATTTTTGTGAAATTATTTTGCTAGATGTTGTTTCTCATCAAATTTTCAGTAAATATTTATGAGGAAAATGCAAGCAAAAATTATTTCAAGTAAGAAATGAATCAATGGAAATTACCCATACCTAATTAATACCATCACATTAAATCAATTTGTAGAAAGAAAATCCCACAATTAACTGCAATGTTGTTCATGATGATTCTCATAAGGATGAAGTAGGTGAATACAATTTTTTTTCATGTTTGTGATAATCCAAAGTTAGCCTTTAAATAAGGATCCTCCATGTTTTAATTTTCTTACATATTTGCATAGCCCTTTAAAAAAGCCCATCCTAATTTACATCTATTAATCATGGCTAGCCATCATTCTCACCTTTTTCTTCTTCATTTATCATTCTGAGATAAGTAATATTTTTATGTCAGGTTCCATTGGAGTCAAAAGGAAGAAAAAAACAATGTTCTGAGTAACTTACGGCAGTCTCGTTCATCTTCTTCATCACCACAATCATCTTGTCCATTACAACGAAGGTTTACTGGAATACATTTCTGGTTCTTAGTACACTTGAACTGACCAGACAGGCAGACATGCGTATCTTAAAGAAGAGAACCAGAAAGAGTAAATAATCACATACATATGTCTGAATATACCACAGTAAACAGTTCCTTAACCAGGAATTTAATCACCTACCACAGTTGAGTTCATCAGAATTGTCTCCACAATCATTTTCCCCATCACAAATGAAGGCAGGCAGAGCACAGAGTCCAGTTCCACACTGAAATCTGCCTGGCTGACATTTAAATTCAGCTGGAAAAGAAAATACAAAAGTGTGACAGAATGGCAATGATACCCCTTGACTTCTTATAAGGAACTTTTCTGACATTCAAAATGCTTATAATATTATTATATTAACTATATCCAAGCATCAAATGTGAAAAATTCCATTGAGAAGGCTACTATATTCAGAGTCCAGCCAGGCCATGAGCAACTCTGAAGACTCCAGATTACCTTTCACAAATGAACTGTTAAGAGAAAAGGAATTAGCAACATATAAATATAAAAGCTCTATTTTAAAAAGAATATAAATGTGTTCTCACTTCAGTAAAGTGGCATTGAGAGGTTAAATTGAGAAACATAGTTCACTAAAGTTCAAAGATTTGTTATATTTTTAAATAAATAATTTCTTATTTGTCACTTTATTGCTAAGATGTATATATATATGTCCACAATATATAGTCTCAAACACAAATTAAATGATTCCTGTATCAGATTTGAATCAGATATTCTGTAATACTATTATTATGTATAAAGATAATGTCTTGTATATGGTAAATATTTTTACATATGATATATATATGTTATTATAATGAATACTTCTATGTTATAGAATAACTCCCAAACTTTAATGCACTCCTTTTGCAATATTTTATTTTATATAAAAATTAGTAATAATACTCAAATAACATTCAATAATCTCTGCTGCATTAGGTCTTGGGATTGACTCTATCATATCATTGATCTCATTATTTGCTCTGTTGGACAACAATATGGCCATTTTAAAGCTGAGGAAAATGCTCAAGGGTATTAACAATTTAGTGAAGCACTTACAACTTTCAAAGGCCAAACTTGGAATTCAGGTCCAAGACTTCTTATAATTATGTTGTGTTCAGTGAAACACTTATTTTTGAGTAATGCTCTCATATATATTATTAATCACTGAATATGATATTAATTTTTTTATTAGTTCAAATCAGTGAATCAAATATTAATATGTGGTATTTTGAGCTTTCTTTGGAAACTATATTATTCTTTCATAATTACATTATTGATGAAATTTAAACACTTCAAAAATAAATCTGTGTGCTTACTTCTATAAAGCAGAAAGCCTAAAATGTTATTCACCTCTAATCTATAAAGTTTGTTAATCATATTATATCCTTAAGCTGCATAGTATTTAATTTTCTCATACTCTGAGCTTGTACAGTTTTTTTGGGTTCCTGTTCCTTCATGTAAATTTCCCCTTAATTGTTCTTTCCTACGCAAAAATAGATGTATAAAAGTAAAAAAAGTGAATGCCAGATAAAGTACATCAGACCTTTATATCTTTCTTTAGATGGCTTTGCTGTATTTGTTTAACATAGAACATTTAGCTGCAAATTTATGATGCTGGTAAATTCTTGATGTATTACCCTTCTTTATATCTATCATAATACCCTGTAGGGTTAATGTATGTTACTTTGCAGCAGGCTTTAGAACTTTCTCAATTAAAGTTATGGGTATTTGTTCTTTAATTACTTTTTATTTTATTATTTTTAGGGAAATCCTTATTATATAACCCAGGTTCACTGCAAGTTCCCATTGTAGCCAGGACTTGCCTTGCACTTATAATCCTTTTTTACTTCAGCTTTCTTAAGAGGCTGTGCTACCTACATCTTTGGCTGTCAGCTGCAAGATAATGCAGCTGTTCAAAATCAAACACTCCACAGACTCCTGCATGCCATTTTTCACCTCACTATGACTCCTCAAATGTCATGTAAAGAGATTCTCAAAGTGTTGGCTTATCACTACAAGTAAACATTTATTTTCTAAATATCACAGAGATAGTAACATCAATAAAACATGAAAAACTACTGGTAGACAATATAAGGCAAAATATCCATGATGTTGAATTGGGAAAAAAAATTTGCTTGGATCTGACTCCAAAATTTAGTCAACAACAATAAAAATAAACATCAAACTAAATGTTTCTGTGTCACACTGAATCAAACAAGTGCTGAGACAATCTGTAAAATGGGAGAACATATCCATAAGCTCTATATTCTGATAACGGGTTAATATTCCAACTACAGAACTCAGTAAGTGGAAAAAAGTGCTCAGATTTTCTTTTCTTTTCTTTTTTTATTAAAAAAAAACTTTGCTTTTTATTGTCAGTCGTGAGACTTGAACTCAGGGCTTGTGTCCTATTGGGTACCAATATGTATCTGAAGAAATGTTCAGAAGTATTTATTTGGGAAATAAAAATATTAAAATATAATGAAATGTTTTGATTTCTATATGAATGGGTATTATAAAAATGACAAATGATGACAATTTGGAAATATGTAGAAAAAAGAGAAAGTTGTTCAGGGTTGATAGGAGTATAAGTTAGGATAGGTTATAAAACGCTGCATGGAGTTTTGTCAAAAAAAATAAGATAGTAACTCCATACTGAGTATATATATATATATATAAACTAAATAAGAACTTCTAGGGGATATCTGTACTCCACTATTTATTGCAGTATTATTCATAATAGTTGAAATGTGCAATCAATTTAAAAGTCCATCAATAGATAAATAGATAGATAAACAGATGGAGAAAACATAGTTTGCATTCACGATTCACTGCTATTTAACATGAATGACCAAATAATTCATTTCACTTATAACAACTTACAAGAAATCAGAATGTAATGCAAAACCAAATAAATTAGGTGTAGAAAGAAAATTGTTAAATGTTTTCATTTATATTTATATATTTAAAAATTTTAAGCTAAAAGAAACAGTAAAATGGCAATAACCAAAGGCTAGGCAGGTGGAAGCATTAGAGAAATTTTGGTCAAAGGACATAAACTATCAGTTACACAGGAGAAGTAAGCTCAAGAGTTCTATGTGCATCACTGACTAACAATTGTCATGATTTATTACATATTAAAAATTAAGAAAATTCACTTTACATATTAACCCAAGGGTGATAAACATAACTCAATGTTTATGTTAAATGGCTTCAATTTAACACAAGAATGCTATATGCCATAGATTATTAATAAATATAAAATTATATATGATATATCACATATATAATAACCATCATATATAATTATATATGTATATATATAATTACATATAGTTTAATATATATAATTTTCATATATGCATCACTTTTACTTTCTAATTAATGAATAAAATGCAGATACTGGTATTTGAACAGGATAGGACAATAAATAAGATAGGTAACAGATACCAGCAATATCTTTTCCCTCAAGCAATATTAAATGATTCACCACCGTATATTCTAAATGTAGGTAAGAGTGAAAACTTATTATATTAAAATTGTACTTAAATTTTTACAAAAGTATGATTTCAGTATGTAATTAAAATCAAGATTAAAACTAGAGTTCAGGGACTATAAACATTTTTTTAAGTATGATTTTCTACTGTGTTGCAGTTTATTCGAATGACTTTCCTCAGAAAACAGTGAATCTCATCAGAATAGTTTATCTTCCTAATGCAAGGCTTATTTTAACAGGCTTGTTTTAGTTCTACAAATTACAGATAAAATTTGAATTTATTTTTTTTGTGCAACATGGGAAAGTTTATTTGGTTTTCAAGAATCAAGTAACTTTCTGCTCATAAGTAAATCTGAGTAAGATCAGTGATATAATTTGTTCCATTGTCATCCTTTTCAATTTGGTATTTAGAAAAACCCAGAGATACCTATTCCACAAAGACTCCACCATATATGTTATTAGTGTGAAAACAAAAGCCATAATTAAAAAGTCAAAGAGAAGTGTATTTTGCCAAACATGCAAATTTTATCAGAAAAGCAATGGATTTTGGAACATTTCATTCTCATTGAATTGCTTACTACTTTTCAATCATATACAGACAGCATGTGAAATAATTTCCATTGTATGTGGTAAACCAGAGATGTAACACAGTCCATTTGAGTAACTATCTAGAAATCCAAAATTTTGTAATTAGATGTTAAGATATTATATAGCAGAAAGTAACTGTTTTTTACCAAGTCATTTCATTGCTTTCTTCAGTGAAAACCTAAGGATCTTGAACTCTATTGTGAAGGACAAATCATGGCAAACATCCAATGGGATGTTGAGAGAATCACCATGATTGACTACCAGAGTCTTCATCTTGACAGGACAGCATTGGAATAACCTATGGAGTGAACTAAAAAAGGCTATCAAGGAAAAGTCTGTCCATTGCCACCAAAGTTACCAATGATTGCTGAAACTATCACAGTCAACCATTCCCACCAATCAGAAGGCATAATTGGCAAGTCACTTTAAAACAATTGTAGGAACTTGTTAAATTACCTAAATTTAAGATGATCATTAGTATCTCATGAATCTAACTTCTCATGTATTTTCAGAATACAAATAGTAACAGAATAGTTGAAAGTTTATATACTTTGAAGATAAGAGTTTAATCACTGTGTGACATGCTAAAAACTTACCCATTTTCACTTATAATTTGGTCACATACTAAGTCGAAAACTATTAAAATTATTGCACTAATGAAGCAACATAGTTCTACACATCAAGTCATCAAATTTAAGAAAGAAAAAAAAATCAACACATGTTGTTAAAACGGTCAAATATCCTAAACATTGACAGTTGTCAGAAAATAACCAAGACAGAATGAAAGCTTTTTGTCTTATATTTTTCAAAGATTCACACACACAACATCTCTATTTCAGTCACTGAAGAAAAATATACCAAACTATCTAGTTTTTTCCAATGAGTGATGTCACTGCGGCGTTTGTAGGTACTTACGGCAGTCATCAGGTTCATCGGACCCATCTCCACAATCGTCCACCGTGTCACATTTCCACCAAAATGGTATGCATTTATCAGTTTTACAACGAAACTTAAAAAAAAATAATACATGTTGAAAGTCCCAAATAATTAATTTGAGTATTTAAAAGCACCCACCAACCTCCTATATAATTCTTCCTGCAATATGAACAACTGTCATCTCAGAGCGTCCCCTCCTCCATAAGGAACGAATACATATCTGGCGATTCCTCCAAGATAAACTCTCCACATTTCCTGTGTACACAGATATTCATTTACATCTGGTCCGAAGAGCTACTGGTATTCTACAGTAGCCTGGGTCTAGCTCCTAGGGAGATCCTATTTTTTTTTTTGGTCGGTCGTGGGGCTTGAACTCTGGGCTTGGGCGCTATCCCTCAGCTCTTCATCTCAAGGCGAGCGCTCTACCATTTGAGCTACAGCGCCACTTCCAGTTTTCTGGTGGTTTATTGGACATAGGAGTCTCACAGTCTCTCTTGCCCGGGCTGGCTTTGAACCGCAATCCTCAGATCTCAGCCTCCTGAGTAGTGAGCCACCAGCACCCGGCGAGATCCTATTTTTTTTTTTTTAAGACTAATATATTAACTATCTGACCCTTTACATAAAGGGTTAAAATAATCGGGAATATTAGGAAGTGATATCAAAGCAGAGCTATGTTTGTTAATCATAATTAATTGAACTGAATTACATTTCCTTAAGAACCTGTGTACTGCAATTACTATCTTCTTGGTCTAGTATTCAGCTGTGTAAGATGGGGACCTGAGCAGACTCTGACAAATCCTTAGCATTTCTGTCATACTCTGACTCCATCAAAGTTCCTGAACACTAAAACATTACCTCTAAACTGAAGAGCATCTATGCCATAGACATTTTTAAAATGTGTCTTTAAAAAATTAGGGATTTAATAGAGTTATTTTCAGTTTTGAGAATGATGAATAATATATACATTCTTTAAGAGCAAAAAAGGAAAATCAAGTATATATTTTTAAAAGGTACACACATGTTTCATAATTAATTTTTAAGACTATTATATACTTTTAATTTATGTATACAAACACAGAAGAAGATTGTCATAAAAATGGAGACTTGGAAGTGGAAGTATGGCTCAACTGGTAAAGCACTATTCTTGAGAAAAAAGTGGCAAGACTAATTATTCACTAAAATATATATTAAGTGTTTTATTAATTAAAGACTGCTAGTCATCATAAAGATAATTCTAGTACTTATAGAAATAGATTTTAGCATTTTAATTTAAAAATTAATCATCAAAGATAAGATTAGCAACAAAGGCACTTTATTGATATTGTTTTTTGTTTTTGTTTTTTTTGGGTCTGGTCGTGGGGCCTGAACTCTGGGTCTGGGCGCTGTCCCTCAGCTCTTCAGCTCAAGGCTAGTGCTGTACCACTTGAGCCACAGCGCCACTTCCGTCTTTTTCCTTTTTGTTTATGTGGTGCTGAGGAATCGAACCCAGGGCCTCATGCATGCAAGGCAAGCACTCTACCACTGAGCCATCTTCCCAGCCCTTCACAGACATATTTACTTATAGGCTATCTGACACACAGGTATTTAGAAGTTAAGAAAAGTTTAGGCAGTTATTACTCAATGTTATCTATATCTATCTATCTATGTTTGGTGTATTTTTCTTTTGTCAGTTGTGAGGCCTGAACTCTGGGTCTAGAGACTGTCTCTCAGCTCTTCAGCTCAAGGCTAGAGCTCTACAACCTGAGCCACAGTGCCACTTCCAGCTTTTTCTGCTTATGTGGTGCTGAGGAATCGAACTCAGGGCCTCACGCATGCAAGGTAAGCACTCTACCACTGAGCCACCTTCCCAGCCAAACATTTTTTTTTATAAGAAAATGTAACAACCCAAATTCTTTCACTGAAGATAAGGCACAAAGACAATGATCCTTCTAATTTCATTGGGAAACTGTAACCAAAAACATTACTCAATTTATTCACTAATGACATTAATTATAAATTAATTTCTCTTATCAACACTATGATATAACTAAAATAACTAAATATAATTAAACAAAATGACACTTTATATATAGAAAATATGCATCTGAAGTAGTTACCATTAAAAGATTTAATTGAAATTATTAAAATTAAGCTGGGTGCTGGTAGCTCACATGGGTAATCCTAACTACTCAGGAGGCTGAGATCTCAGGATCTTGGTTTGAAGACAGCCCAGGCAGGAATATCTGTGACACTTTTATCTCTAATAAATGACTTATAAAAAGCTATAATTGATGCTGTGGCTTAAGAAGTAGAGCATTAGTCTTTAGCACAAAGAAGATCAGAGACAACACCAGGCCCTGGGTTGAAGCCCGAGGACCAACAAAAAACAAAATAAAACAAAATAAAATAAATAAATGTTAGGCTGTTTCTACTGGTATCAAATTTGTTTATTGTTTATTTCAATAGAAATTCAATACAAAGCATGTATCTCAATATTGATCTAGAATTAATGGATAATAATATTAATTAATAAATATTGACAGTATAATTCCTACATGAGCATCTGGCAAGGAGATGAATTGATAGTAACGGAATACAAAAGAAAATGCATTAGCAATCTAAGTGTTAATTAAAAATCCTGTTACTAACTTTAAATGACAGAAAATTTAAAGGTTCTACTTTTGCTGAAACTCTGTGGAGAATATGGAACTTATTCAAGATAAAATTGTATTAAATATGGGAATGAATTTTTTCTCACTGGCAATATGGGAGGGAACAGAGGACTATGAATCTGAAGAGACATCTGACAATTTAGCTGGTTTTCTCATATTTGCTTAGCCTGTGGTCATGTATGTTGTGTTTTTCATAAATTACCAGAGGGGAAAAATTACCTTGATAGATAGTGAGTGTCAGGGAATATGAGGCTAAATTTGAAAGCAATTGCCCTGAACATTAAATATTTCCAGTCATTACAGTATATCAAAGCACATTAGTGAGAGGAATTCTGTTCTCCAGAGTATCTTCAAAGTATTCCCAATTATGCCTAGAAAACATCTAAAACATATATTTTTAATTCACTATGATTTTTAATAAATGTCATTTGTGGAATTATATATAGTATGATGATTTATCTCTCCCTTTCATTTTAATAAGAACATTAAAGGATTTTGAGTTGAGAAGTCAGAAAAAATATCTTAACTTCATATACTAATCGACATTTTATTCTCAGAAGATTTCTATTTCACTTCTGGTTTCACATTTTTTATACTTAAATTCAGTGATTTTATAATGATTTATTCTAAGTAAAAATGGTAAATTTTCTTCATGATAAATGTTATCAAAAGTAATAAATTCACAAAATAAATTGTAAACTAAACTAATTATCATTCACAAAAAGAACCTATTAAAAAACACTAAACGCATGCCGATTAATTTGAATATAGGATAAAATGTCATCTCCCATATGGTATAATGCAGTTGTAACATGAATAATATCCACTTAAAAATAAGTAATGTGTTTTCAAAACAGACTTTTTCCTTTTATTATGAGTTAAACTCAATGTTCTAAGAATTGAATTTTTATCCGTTTCTCAGATTATAATACCAGTAGAGGTATGAATGGATTTTTATATTACTTTCATTTTATGAGTATATCATTAATAGTGACCTTATATTTAGAAACAGCAAAAATTGCTTTAAAATTGAAACAGGCCTTTTCTTTAAAAAAATATGTGTCTTTAAAATACTAGATTCTCAACTGACAAGATTCTGAACTGAAAGATTATATATTATACATTTAAATGTTTAACATACTAAAAATTTTATTTCTATAAATTAAATTTTCCTCCAAAAAGTGTAGCAAAGCTCTTTTCCTCTCATAGAACCAGAAAATAATCTGATGTCAAATGTTTAGTTAAGCCAAAAGATTTACACCACCAATGATGTGTGTTAACTTTTCTTATTATTTTTTAAAATCAAATAAAATAATGGCATTTTATTTCTCAAGTAGTTTACCTATAAACAAAGATATCTGGTCCAAAATCTGGCTTAATCTTACTTGCTTAATCTAGCTATTTAAAAAAAAGTCTGAAAAATACAATTGGAGGTCTTTGAAAAATGGAATACGTCTTTATCAATGATTTCAAATTAGAAAATTATTACATGAACAATACTTTCTAGTTAAGTGATGTTTTTATTTAATTGGTCAGATCTTGGAACATTGGAAACAAATGCATATAGATTTTATTATGCAAAAAACTAAATGTCTTTTTGTGGTTGTTGTTGTTTTGTTTTTTTTTTCGGTTATGGGGCTTGAACTCTGGGCCTAGGTGCTGTCCCTGTGCTCTTCAGCTCAAGGTAAGTGCAATACCATTCGAGCCACAGTGCCATTTCGGGGTTTTTCCTAGTGGTTTATTGGAAATAAGAGTCTCATGGACTTTTCTACGCAGGCTGGCTTTGAACCAAGATCCGCAAATCTCAGTCTCCAAAGTAGCTAGGATTACAGGCATGAGCCGCCTGGACCCAGCTTGTATATGTCTTATCTGCAATACAAATAATCCTTTGGTTTTATTGTCTTCTCAGTTGGCTCATTCTTGGTTGAGGCTGGATTCATCACCACTAATTCTACATTGGACTCCATGTTTGGTCTTAACAGACTGAGTAACAAGCACTCTCGAGCAAGGCACCCAAGGCACTGAAGGTTATTTCAGAATAAACTAGGCCAATCTCCAGAAATAATTAAATAATAATTAAATCATTTAAGAGATTTTTTGAAGATGCATTTTTTAAAACAAATACGGAAACATTAGAACAACAGCAACAACAACAAAAGCCTTTTGATGGAAGGCCACGCTTATTGATTGCACACATAATTTTGTGAGTATACTCCTGTTGCCCTTCAGAGGTAAGGTTTATAACAACTATTGCCATTTAAGTATCAACAGTGGCCTGAAAATAGTATTGCTATTGTTTGAAGATGCCCTTCAACTCATGTTGAAATTGAATTGTCATTGAATGAAGATAATACTAACAAAAGATTAGATCAGTTAAAAGGGCTGCATCTTTATGTATGGATTACTAGATTTATTAAGAAAATGGCATAATGCCAGGCTCCAGCGGCTCATGCCTGTAATCCTAGCTACTCAGGAGGCTGAGATTTGAGGATGGTGCTTCAAAGCCAGCCTGGGCATGAAAGTCTGACTCTTATCTCCAATAAAAGCCACCAGAAAACTGGAAGTGGTGCTGTGGCTCAAGTGGTAGAGCACTAGCCTTGAGCTGAAGAGCTGAGGGACAGCACCCAGACCCAGAGTTCAAGCCCCATGACCAAAAAAAAAAGTATAAGAAATACATTTAATTTTAGAACTAAATTAGCCTGTCAGTATTTTTCTGTTATACTGTTATACAGCATCAGAAAACAGACTAAGACAAATATCTCATTTTAAATATAAGAAAATTGAGACAACAAGAAATTAGGTAACAAACTCAGGTGATTCAACCAATTTGCAACAGAATAAGGGTGAGGTTAACAAGGAGTCTGGCCTCAGTAAGCTTTTAAACATTTCAAATGTTGACTTTCTGGAAAAGGTATTTATTTTATATTACCTGTCACAGGTGATAATTATAGTTTTAGCGTGAGAGAAAGACTGATCTAATAACCATTTCTCTATTTTGAGAACCTCTCTATTTTTATAAGAGAAATTCAATCTTTTGCCATAATATCATTTCTAGTAATAGGAAAATTCTACATATAGAACTTAAAGAATAAATGCAGTCATTAAAAACCATCATGGGCTGGGAACATGTCTTAGTGGTAGAGTGCTTGCCTAACATGCATGAATCCCTGGATTTGATTTCTGAGAATCACATAAACAGAAGAAACAAACAAACAAACAAACAGAATTCGTGCTGTGGTTCAAGTGGTAAGAGGGCTAGCCTTGAGCAAAACAAGCTCAGTGAGAGTGCCCAGGCCCTGAGTGTAAGCCCCAGGACAGGCCGAAAAATATAATAATCATGATTTAATTTACCAATGTTATCTAAAGTCAAAATGAGGGCTGGGAAGCTGGCTCAGTGGTAGAGTGCTTGCTTTGCATACATGAGGCCCTGGGTTTGATTCCTCAGCACCACATAAGCAGAAAAAGCCAGAAGTGGCACTGTGGCTCAAGTGTAGAGCACTAGCCTTGAGCTGAAGAGCTGAGGGAAAGCATTCAGGCCCAGAATTCAGCCCCCACAACTGATAAAAAAAAGATAAAGTAAAAAATGTTAATGACTACAATATAAAAAAGTACACTTTTAATATCATATGACAGTCATCCAGAATTTGAAAATAATGAAATTGAGACCTATCTAACTACCATGAAGTAAGAAGTTTTTCTGGGATGTCTGTACTATGTGTGTTTGTGTGCCAATACTGGGGCTTGAACTCTTGAATATCAAGAACCCCAAGTTCTTGATATTCTTGTTTGTTTCCTTTTTGTTGTTTTTGCTGTTTTGTTTCTCTGGCATTCTAGCACTTGAATTACAGCTCCCTTTCTGACATAATACTGATGAATTGGAAATGAGTCTTATGGACTCTTCTGCCTTGGGCTGGCTTCAAACTCTGATTCTCAGATCTCAGCATTCTGGGCATCCTTTATTTGCAACCACTATTATATGTCTGGGACAATGTACATATGGCCAGATAAGATGATGTAAGCAAAATGAACCCCAAGATAAGGACACAAGTGGTTTTTTTTTCTTTCTTACTATTGTTCCTAACATATTTATAATGTGCCATGTGATTTTTTTGTTTCTTTGTATGTTCCTCCCCCATGGTATTTGATGTTGGTGCCCTGCATCTTGTATATACACTTCTCTAATTTGGGGAGGGGAAGGCAAAAAAACCCAAAATGTTTAAATAGGGATACAGTTTGACCCATTGTTAATAATGAGATGTACAAGACACTATGTTGAAAATGAACTTTACAATTTAGGTTGGGGGTGGGGGTGTATTTGTTGGAGGTGGGAGGGAAAAGATAGTATGGGAGGCAACAGTGCTTGACAGGAAATGTACTCATTACTTTGCTCATGTAATTGTAATCCCTCTGTACAGTATTTTTACAATAATAAAAAAAACTTTTAAAACGCCACATGAAAACTAAAGAAGACATAAATAAAAATTAAATAAAATATTATGAATGGAGAAAAGGAAAATTATTTTATCATATTTTTAATTTAAAAAATCTAGAGATTTAATCTCTATGCGCTTCAGCTTTTTCTTTCTGTTTCTAGGGAGCAAGAAAGAAAGAATATAGATGGGATGCAGAACCAGCTTTCCAGGAAGATTGCTTTGATTTCAATCAATCCCATATCTCTCTCCACACTGCCTCAGTTACTTTGGCTTCTTGGTGGCAAATCTGATGCTGCTACTTGGCTCACTTAAGAGAAGTGTTGTTTTTTTGTCTGTTGTTGTTTTTGTTCCTTTCTGCCCATATTGTTATTCTTTTTTATTTTTTTTGTTTTGCCTATTTATTTTATTTAATCATAAAGTATTTGTGCAAAGGAATTGCCATTCAACAAAATAGTACACAAATACAATAAATCTTGATCAATGTCAACCCTTTCATTTTTTTTCCTGTAATCTACTTATACCCTAAGGCCTAAAGTTCTCTTCTAAAAATAATCATTACATCATTTTCCCTATGCTGTGTTTGAAAATCATTCATAACACCTGTAAAAATTAATGCTTCACACTTTGTAAAAACATGCAGGCTTTGTAGTAGAATTTGAAATTTGGTATTGATATTCCTCCAGCACTGTTCTTTCTGCTAAGGATCATTTTTGATATTTTGGGGTCTTTTATTGTTCCATATGAATTTACATATGATCATATAAGATGATGCTAAGGGAAATGAGCCTTAAGATAGGGAAACAAGGGGATTTTTCTTCCTTGCTATTGTTTTTAACATGTTTATAATATACTATGTGATTTGTTGTTGTTATTGTTTCTTTGGTATGTTCCTCCCCCATGGTATAGCCCCTGTTTTCACTGTGTTTGATTCCGGTGCCCTCCATCTTGTATATGTATTTTTCTAATTTGGGGAGGGGAAGGGAAAAATTCTTAAATAGGGATACAGGTTGACCCACTGTAAAAATGAGATGTACAAGACACTATGTTGAAAACAAACAGGTGCCCAGGGGACGAGGGGGCTAGGGAGGAGTTGGGGAGGTGGGGTGGTAAGTGATGGTAGGGAAAAAACAAAAGAGGGAGTAACAATGTTCGATAGGAAATGGACTCGTTACCTTGCTCATGTAAGTGTAACCCCTCTTTACAGTATCTTTACAATAAAAATATATATATTTAAAAAAAAGCATGCAGGACATGACTTACAGCCTTCCACTTACCTGACTGGCTGTGCAGTTGGACAGACAGGTCCTGTTATCTGCTGCAAGGTAGAAGTTGGTGGGACATGCACAGGTATGGGTTTTTCCTGGGGCTAAAAGGCATAAGTGACTGCAACCACCATTATTGATCATGCACAGGTGTTTGGAAACTAGAGATAAGAAAAGAGACAACAACATGGTCGGACAATAATGACTATTAACATAATTTAGGATTGGAGATAGGTTTCTTTATTTGTATCTTTATATGTTATTGTAATCAGACACTTCTCAAGACTATAAATATAACTTTTATTTCTTAAATATGCTACTCAATGAATGACATTAATTTTACAATTAAATCTTTTAAAGATTCTTTATACAAACTGAGCACATTAGTAGAAAACTGCTTATCAGAAGGATAAACAGAGAACAGAAATATGTTGGATGAAGATATACATATACTTAGAAATATGTGTAAAATAAAATAAGGAAAGAGAGATTATAGCTAAAGATTAAGAACTTTTATTGCTAAAGCAGACATGTATTTTCAATAAGGATTTTAACCTTTACTATGCAATGCATGGTAGAGGCCTACCACAAGACATATCCTTATAGAAATTTTATATGCTTGCCAATTTTAGAAATCTAGGTCTACATTTAATCCTTTACTTCCAGAATTTTAGAAATTTCAGAAATTAATGGATGTATTTTTCATTTCTCTGACTACATATGCATATATTGCAATTCAGCTTTATATGATATGAAGAAAATAATTCTGTTATTATAGAGCTTCTAATTATAACTCTTAACAACAGTCCTTGATATTAACAAATTCATTGTACAGAATAATGCTATGTAATAAAATCTGAACCATCTTCTCTAAAACAAAATTACATGTAACCTTGATAGAATCAAAGGTAGAATGCTACTGAAAGATGGTGATGAATGTATGGAAATCATGGAAAAAATAATTACCATCCGGTTGTCTATAAGAATGATACACCTGGATATCTGTGATGGCATGCCATGAGTTAATCAGTAAGAGTCTGTCTGCTCCCGAGGTTTTATGGGCACGGCTGAGTGACTTGGTTTTCCCATCAGTCCAGTAGATGTAGTCTTCAAACAATGTTAGTGCAATCACCCCTGGAATATCTTGATTAGGGACTGTAATAGAAGATGGTAAGATTAATGCTCACTCTTGGAAGACTGCCAGTTAAAATATTCAATACTACATGGGCTGACACTTACAACTGCTACAGAGCTTCATGTGAATAATTGCTGTGACAACCTGTCAGGCCAGCAAAGTTCTTTATTACCAGTTAAGGCAATGCAAGATTGGGTGCAGGAGTTCACATTGCTCAGATATAGCTTGGTTAAACCTCTGGGAAGAAAATGAATGTTATCCTGTGCAGCATCACAGGAAGTCTGCTTCACCAGAAACAAGGAACACCCAACATTTTGAAACTCACCATCAGGAGACATATGCATATGCATATAATATCCCCCAGTTGTTCTTAACCCAAACACTCAGCCAAAAAAATCATTGACCAATTTTCTTGCACACTAAAAATGATTAAATGTCAATGGTAAACTATGTCTTTTATCTGAAAAGAGTTTTATGAAACTACTATGAACCATTTTCTTCATAGAGATAATATGTGCATTGTTACTTGTAAGATGAGTTATTTAGAAAGAAAGTGACTGATAAATTATTATGAAGATTTAATAGTTATGAAATTGTTTAGTTGTGAACTAAAATTGTTTTTGTAATTATGGCTTCATTATAGAAATGGATTTAAACATATTACAATGGGTTGAGCATCACCAGTATAGATTTTTTTATTCAAGTGAATCTCATTGGGTGAATAAAATATAATAAGTTTAGAAGTTGGGAATTTAAAAATCCTAAATAGTTTTTTGTGATTCTCAATTCTGAAGATTATCAAATGATCAAATTCAGCAAAACAGAAAAAATAATTTGTATAAACATTCTAATGTCTTCCTGTATTAAAATTCAGATTTACTGGGTAAAATTTAAAGAAAAAAAGCTTTAAAGACCAAAGGTAATAAAGTTCCAATACTACGTTCTTTTTCACTGAGTAGATTTTAATGACTGAGAATCAATATTTGGCATATTCTTAATTATTTGCCACTGAATATAGTTATGAAAATTTAAAATACAGTCATTCCTTTTTAGGGAAATTTACAGCCTTAATCAAAAAGTGCTGAGCATATATATATATATATATATATATATATATATATATATATATATAT